AAGAAAGAAAGAAAGAAAGAAAGAAAGAAAGAAAGAAAGAAAGAAAGAAAGAAAGAAAGGCAGACACTAGCTGTGACTCAGTGTAAAGCACCAGTTTCAACCCCAGCATCACTAAATGAGGAGGAGAGGGGTGGAAGTGGGTACTTTCTGGCAGGTCTCCTTGGTGTGGCTTGAACACACATGTTCGTGTTGTTCTGGCTACTCTGACAGCTATTTTCAGGACAAGGGTTTTACTTTGCTCCCAGAAGATAATTCTCAGGTTTTCCTTTTCTTTATCCTTTTTTCCCTTTCAAAGGACACTGTCTTTCCTCCAACAGGACTACTACAGGTGACACCTTATGTAAGAGATCAAGAAAGCCAGGGGCACACTCCTCTTCCTTACTAAAGCTCACTGACTCCCAGTGAGCTACCCTGGAAGAGTTGGAGGAGTGGAATGGGAATGCTAGGGACACATGATGGCACCATTGTGTCACCAGTGAAAACACATAAAAATAAAGGGTTTTTTTTTTGTCTGCTTTGTTAAGGGTTTTTTTATTATGATAAATATAGAGAGACCAAAATTCCTTGTTTTTAGCATCAGTTCAGTTACACTTCGTTACACATTGTATTCTATAGTGTTCTAAGCCATGTCCAAATTTTCCATCATCCTAAACTGAAACTCTGTACCCATCAAACCCTAAATTCCTAAGTTCCCCCCTGCTTGCTGTCTGGCTCTGGAAACCACCATTCTAATTTCTGTCTGTATGAGTTGTTTTTCTATTTTAGACTATTGTGTCATAGTCACTTTTATCACTAGCTCATTGATTCATTTATTTCATAAAGTCATGCAAGTTTATTCATTTGGTATCATGTGTCAAAAGTTCCTTCCTCTTAAAATCAAATATCACTGTTACGTTTACACTAAATGCTGTGTACTCATTCATCCATGAATGAGCACGCATCCCTCTTGGCCATTAGGAATAATGCTGTTTTCAGGATGAGTGTTTAACAACTTCTTTGAAACCCTGCTCTTTAATCTTTAGGATATACAAAGAAATGGGGTAAGGGGATAACATATGAAATGTAAATAAAACATCCAGTAAAAAAAAAAAAAAGGATATACAAAGAGAGGAATTCTGTGGGCTGCGTGACAATCTTATTTTGTAATGTTTTGAAGACCCGCCAACCCAATTTGCACAGTGGCTCCGCCATTTTACATTTCTCACAACAGCGCACAAGGGTTCAGATTTCTCTGCATCATCACCAATACTCTTAGCTTCTGGATTTTTTTTTTTTTACCATCTTAATGAATGTGAAATGAACCCTCACCATGGTTTTGATTTGCGTTTTCCTAATGATTAATGATACTGAGCGTATCTTCATGAGTTTCTTGGGCCTCTGTCTTGTTTTAGACTGATTATCATTCCATTTGTATAGCATTCTGTTTCTGTTCTTTAGTAATTAGGCTAAGAATTTCAAGAATCCTGGGTCTTACAGATTACCAAAGCAGTCATCCAATAGAATATGTATGGTCGCAAAGGTGTCAAATATATTCAGTTCTGTTCATCAAACACATCAAACTCAAATTCTGTTATAGAAAGAATATTCATCATAAGATCTCAAGCTGCCTTTGCTGAAACTATAACAATGAGCTAGTTATAGGCTCCTTGCTATCAACTAATGGAAACAAACTACTCAACCACTATACACATTTCTTCTGCTAGGACTGGGAAAAGACACAAATCATTATTCTGTATTGTGGATTGTAGTAAGTGAAAGAGCTATTCGAAAGCAATATTACAGTGCCAGGTCAGAAAAATCTTGCAACAGGTGGGAGGGGAAGCAGACTAGCATGGTGTGTTCAGGTCATGAGTCTGGAAGTACATCAGAGTGAGATTACAGTTCACTATGTAACTTTAGCCAAGCTTTGGAATCCTATAAGGTTTCGTATCCCCTTAGCAGTGTCCACAGGAAATGTTCTGCATGGAAAAAAGTCTCCCTCCCTCCTCTTTCTTTCCTTATTCCATCTGTCCTGCTCTGAGCTTCTTCAGTGATTCTCTCTGAATGATATTCAGAATCATAACCAATATCAACCTCTGCTGGATGTTATGCGGAGGAAATAGGGAAAGCAGAGAAAAGTGGGAGCAAAGGGGCAGAAGGATAGGTAGGATGGAGGGAGTAAGAAGAAAGGATGAAAAGATGAGTTAGGGAAGATGGTAGCTCTGACAGCCTTCTGAGAGGGAGCTTTCTTTCAGAGGTTTTCTCTTGATGTGTCTCTTCTGGGCTTGGGGTTGCCATCTCTCAGAGCTATGGAAAATAGTTCTGGCCTCAAGTTTCTATCTCCACCTTCTTCAATCTATTCTGCCGCATTCTCCCAAAAGTCTTTTTCCCCAGTCTTGAGGATTAGACTCAAAGGGTCATGCTCACACTGAACTAGATTCCCAGTCCCAACTAAAAACACTGGTCATATCCCTTTGATGCTCAAAATTAATGGTTTCCTATGGCTAGCTTGACAATGTACAAGTTTAGTAACCTGGACATCCTTGACCATTTCTATTCTCTGGCTCTGACCCTGCATCAACTCATCTCCCTGTACGAAGCTTGTATTTCAAACAGTCTACTCATAGGATGTGAGAGAATGCCCCTTCACTTCTACTCTGCCTAGTTCTTTGACTGGATGCTCTTCCTAGACTGTCAATGAACACCTTCTCCTTAGGGAAATTACTTGACCCATATCTTCTCTGTAATGCTTTTTAGACTGCCACTTCTGAAGACCGAGGGCACTTTTCAAGAATATACTGGATAGCATCTCTTATATCTTAGAAAACTCACAGTATTCTATTTTGTTGTTGTTGTTGTTACAGAAGTTGAATTAACTTTCAAACAGGGAGACAGGAGACCTCCTTTTCCACTGTGGCTTTCTGGAGAGCAGTAAAGTTGAAAGACATGGCATCCAAATGAATACAGTTAAAAGGTTGTGATGCATCTAGGCATAGCAGTTCAAGCCTGTAATCCCAGCATTTGGACAGTTGTTGAGCTGTGAGTTTTAGTCTAGCCTGGGCTACATTGTGAATTCCAGTCAGGACTGTATAGCAAAACAAAGATATTATTATAAAAAGTAAATTATTTAGGTATGTAGTATTTAACCAGAACCTATGACCCTTTATTCATTAAATTATTACATTCAGGGACTTTACTGCAGACCCCAGTTTTACCCTTCTACCTAATAAGCTCCAGGAGAATAAAAGCCAATTCTTTTGTTTTTCACAGAAGC